TCCGGCGGAAAGTTTTGGTTAGGGCCATCCACTTCTGTACTCTAGTCCTACTCCAGAAACTGAGTGTTGCGTGCACATCCGTTTTACAGGTCTGACTTATTTGCATGCAAACTGTTGGTTTCTCACCTAACAGGCAGATGTACTCCGACTTCGAAGGAAGCTGCCAATTAATCTACGTCTTACGACATGCTATTGGGCAGGCAGTGGGTCTATTCTTGCTTCCCCCCCCCCCCACAATGGGGCTCCGAAACCCACACGGGGAACATGGGAATTATCCCTTATCACTTTCAGTCAGCCATTCACAATAGCAAAGATTTGAACACGCTCCTTTCCAGCATTATAATCACCCGTGGTTGGATTTGCTATCCAACAAGTAGGTTGTTCTTTTGCTCAAAAAGTTTAACAAACTCCAGAGCCTGTCTTACAAGACTTTCTAGACTACACCAGTCACAGAGAAAATATCTGGCTCTTAGAAGTGATCCTGCAAGACGCGATGTTGAAAACTTTACTTCTCTCACTACAGGAAGCATGAAACCCGGTGCTTTCAGTTTGTGCCACGGCCCCACAGATGTCCCTTTCCCGGCTTGCTATAGCGGCGAGTTTATGAGGAGCCTAAATACAGCATCTCCTCTCTTTTACCCAGGGCAACTTTTTAGAATAACCTGTAATGAACGTTTTTGCTAAAAATGGCATTTAGCTGAAATTTTTTTGTAAAAAATGCTCCCTCTGATCCATCTTAATATCTTTTGAGCCACGGGTATGTTTTCTCCCAGTTAATATTATACTTACGATTGCTGTCATAAGACACATTGAGAGATGGCGCGAATTTCCGTTAGCTCGTGTACCAGCCATACCAGGACATCACAACCAAGACATACTGAAAACAATGTTAATTGTAGGCCTAGATTACTTTAGATAAATTACGTGTTTCTAATGGAGGAACCAAGAGGAAGGTGTGAGCACGTCTTGTGTAAAAAAAAATTAGCTAGGAAAAACACGAACATGCCAAAATAAGCCAGCTCGTTATGTTAAGCTAGCTCAATTTCAAATAAATCAAATGTGTGGAATCCAGCGTAGAAAAGCCAACATGGCAACCCCATGATCGCTTACGGCAGTCGGCAAGGCACTTGATAATAATGATTAAAAGAGATAGATACTTTTCAGTGAAAGAGAACTCTAAAATGTTATTTTGATATACCTAATTGTGTCCCCTGCATGAATAACTATGAAATCAAACCAGAAGCCCTTAAATTATCTCTACAATGTCCAGAAACAGAAACGTAAGTTTTCCCTAGTTTATTCCTGTACTGTTTAACATAAAGTAAGAGGGACTGTACTAATTACAGAGGAATGTCACTTCTCAGTCACACTGGGAAAATGTATGCTAAGATCATCGAAACAAAGGCTAAGACCATTGATAGAGTATCAGCAGTATCGGATCACTATCTTAGACTATCTTATCTATCATTGTATCTATCAACTTTCGGAAACACAGGTGACAGATCATCTGTCAGATGGGCTTTCGACGAAACAGAAGTTGCACAGATGCCATTTATAATTTATAAATTGAGACAACTATCACAGAGAGCAATTACAATAGAACTTAGAACTCAATAAGACCTGTTTGCTGACATTCATAGACCAAGAAAAAAAAACTTCGATAGAGTCGACAGGAATATGTTGTGGGAATGTATGGGGAAAAGAGGAATCAGCAATGCAATCATCTAAATAATGATTAATATTTGCAAAAACCTGTACACACGTAGTAAATGCTGCATAAGATCGAAGGCAGGGTTGTCAAGAACTTTTATAGTAAACTCTGGTGTGCCTCAGGGCTGTTAGTGTTACTGTCGCCGCTTCTTTTTATAACATACATAATACCATAAGTAAGGAAACAAACTTTAAGCACTCCGTACTTTCTGCTATGAATACCTGGTCGTCTGCGAATAGTAATTTCTGTAATATCTTCTTCATGATTAAAGTTTAATCATGAAGAAGATATTACAGAAATTACTATTCGCAGACGACCAGGTTTTCATAGCAGAAAGTACGGAGTGCTTACAGAACCACCTAAATCAAATTAGTAACAAAGGGGAGGAATATAATTAAATAGGAAAATAAACACTACGAAGACAGAGACAGTGATGATAGGAAGACATAAAGACAATTTAGAAATTAAATTAAAAAACAACACCCTGAGACAAACAGAGGAATTTAAGTATTTGGGAGCAATTTTTACATCCAACGGAAAACTGGACAGAGAAATTAGCTCCAGATGTGCCAAAGCTAATCAAGTAATTGGTCAACTATCTTCCTGTTGACACACAAGCAGATACCTCGGAGTACTAAAGTAAATCTTATCAGAACTATTTTTTGACCAACACTATGCTATCAATGCCAAACGTGGACACTTACATCCTCCAACAAACGTAAAATTGTGACAACAGAGATGAAATGCCTTGGAAGAGCTGCAGGAGTTTCAAGGAAAGACAGAATACGAGATCATGAAATCAGACGAATGCTAGGAATAAAGCCATCAAAGAACAACAAATGAAGTGGTTTGGACACCTAACAAGAATGCCCTGGTACTATCTGCCACAGCGAGCCACACTAAAACGTTACAACGAGTATAGAAAACCTAGGAAAATATGAAGTGATGGCATTAACAACAGCCTTACAGAAATGAATATCAGTCTTAATGGTGCTCTTGACAGAGCTCATCAACGAACATTACATCTCCCACCGACACTTCGATGAGGTACAAGGTGGAAGAAAAGAACTGTTTAACATAACAGAACTCATTTGTCCGTTCACAGTAACAGCTATAATAAAACTAACAAGCTTGAATGAGTGTATTTAAATTTGTTATTCGAACTGTCACATTTATTATTAATTAAAAAAATAAAATAAAAATGTCCCTTCCCATTCCATTCAGTTCACTTTTTTCTTTAAAATTGTGTTATGATTATATATTATGATTGTTGATGACCTAGCACGTCTACAATTAATGAACCACTAGAACTACTTATAATTTTTTTTTTTTTAAACATTTCTAATAAATGTTAGTAAAATAGTTTATGATGGCGGTAAAATATCTAGCTAAAACTAGAACTGTGCTGGAAACCTTGAGAAGGAAGACTAATTTAATAATTCATCTATTCTTCAGCAAGGCCCTATTCATGTATTAATCTATAATTATGTATATATACAACACAACAAAACCGTTGACCCGTTAGGTAGGGTCGTGGAGGTGTACTGATGGAAGCATTAGCACATAAAACCTGCCAACTTTCTCTGTTTTCCTTTTGATGATTAAGTGTATGTTTATGATAACTTAGTCCTGTCCATTTCTTGATGTAATCATTCCAGATTCTTACTTTGCCCTCCTCTTCTTCAACAACCACCCCCCCCCCCCCCCCCTCCCCCCCCCCTCAACCCCACAGCCACCGTTCCTTGAAGCAGTCTTTGCCATTGAATCATGTCTGGCCATGTGTCTAAACCAAGCTAGCTTGTGACATTTCACCACTGCCAAGAAAGGCCCCTGATGTCCTGCAAATTTATGTATTTTGTCTCTGACATATTTATGGGTTTTGTGTTCTAAATAGCCAATTCGTAAAAAATGTCTGTAGTATTTAGATTTAAAAGCCTGAATCCTCTTTCCCATTTCCACAGTGAGAGAATCAAAGCTTTAAACCAGCCTCTTCTTACCTCCACAGTGAGAGAATCAATACTTTAAACCTTCCTCTTGTTACCTCCACAGTGAGAGAATCAATACTTTAAACCAGCCTCTTCTTACCTCCACAGTGAGAGAATCAGTACTTTAAACCAGCCTCTTCTTACCTCCACAGTGAGAGAATCAATACTTTAAACCATCCTCTTCTTACCTCCACAGTGAGAGAATCAATACTTTAAACCATCCTATTCTTACCTCCACAGTGAGAGAATCAATACTTTAAACCATCCTATTCTTACCTCCACAGTGAGAGAATCAATACTTTAAACCATCCTATTCTTACCTCCACAGTGAGAGAATCAATACTTTAAACCATCCTATTCTTACCTCCACAGTGAGAGAATCAATACTTTAAACCATCCTATTCTTACCTCCACAGTGAGAGAATCAATACTTTAAACCATCCTATTCTTACCTCCACAGTGAGAGAATCAATACTTTAAACCATCCTATTCTTACCTCCACAGTGAGAGAATCAATACTTTAAACCATCCTCTTCTTACCTCCACAGTGAGAGAATCAATACTTTAAACCATCCTCTTCTTACCTCCACAGTGAGAGAATCAATACTTTAAACCATCCTATTCTTACCTCCACAGTGAGAGAATCAATACTTTAAACCATCCTATTCTTACCTCCACAGTGAGAGAATCAATACTTTAAACCCTCCTATTCTTACCTCCACAGTGAGAGAATCAATACTTTAAACCATCCTAGTCTTACCTCCACAGTGAGAGAATCAATACTTTAAACCATCCTATTCTTACCTCCACAGTGAGAGAATCAATACTTTAAACCATCCTATTCTTACCTCCACAGTGAGAGAATCAATACTTTAAACCATCCTATTCTTACCTCCACAGTGAGAGAATCAATACTTTAAACCATCCTATTCTTACCTCCACAGTGAGAGAATCAATACTTTAAACCATCCTATTCTTACCTCCACAGTGAGAGAATCAATACTTTAAACCATCCTATTCTTACCTCCACAGTGAGAGAATCAATACTTTAAACCATCCTATTCTTACCTCCACAGTGAGAGAATCAATACTTTAAACCATCCTATTCTTACCTCCACAGTGAGAGAATCAATACTTTAAACCATCCTATTCTTACCTCCACAGTGAGAGAATCAATACTTTAAACCATCCTATTCTTACCTCCACAGTGAATAGATGGTGCTGTACCACCCAAGCTGGTCTCAAACAAGTGTTGTATAGGTCATGATCTTCTAAAGCCAAAGTGAGGTCACAGATTCCAGATAATGGCATTTGGGAAATCACAGTTCTCATTAGCTGACTGCAGAGGTAGAAGTTTGAACACTTTCAATAAGATCTTTATGCAGTTTTCAGTCTCTCTCTGTCAGTTGACATGAGAAAGAGAATTCTCAAGAGCTATATTAATCCTATCCTTGTATATGAAAGTGAATCATGGACAATTAGACTATTAGTGGACAATTATTTGGAAGCAGCAGAGATGTGGTTTTATGGATACATTATGAGAATACCCTGGGCAGATAGAAAAGAATAATGAAGATGTCTTGAATGAAACTGATTGCCCACATCAGAAGGAAATAATCTACATTCTTTGATTAAGCCATGAGGAGGAAAAAAACTGGAGTACATCGTCAAGGTTGGGAAGGCTGGAGGGAGAAAAAGAGCAGAGGGAGACCGAGAGAGAAAAGATGCTCGACAATTTGACATCATGGCATGAAAGTTAATCTGTATCAGAATTGATTGAAAGTACATGTGGCAGAAGTTTATGGATAGACATGACTACCAATGTCACACTTTCAGTAAGATCTTTATGCTGAATAGTTCAACACCGTAAGATCAGTTTATTATGTATTTGATTTTATGTTAAATAGTTCAACACTGTAAGATCAGTTTATTATATATTTGATTTTATGTTTGTCTATACCTTGCTAATCCACGACGGCTCCAGCTGAGGGGCCATGCTGCCGACGTCACCAGGTCGGGCTAACGATGCGCTAATGCAGTGGTTTTAAAACTAGGCACCGAGGCACCCCAGGGTGCTGTGAGCGTATGCCAAGGGTGCCGCGGCTATAGTCAAGATAAGGCGGCTAAAAATTGTTAAATTATTAAAGAAGGCATGTAGATCCCTCGCCAGTGTCGGAAATAGTTTATTTCTTGTTTGAGAACCGCTGCGTTTACGCATTGTTAGCCCTACCTGGTGATGTCAGCAGCATGGCCTGTCAGCTGGAGCCGGTTGTGGCTAATCCTAGGCTAGTGTTATGATAAAATAGTTCTGTGCTTAATGTCTAAGATGAATGCTGTTAATATTTTGGCCAAACAAGATCACAGATAAAGAACTGTGGAGTGTTCACCAGTGGCAAAATTTATCAAAGGAAGAAGATGGAGATGGCCTAGATATTTTAGCAAAATGTCTCAGGACAACTTAGCAAGGACAGTCTCTTGTGGATGGCAGAAAGAAAAAAGATGTGGACAACCAAAGAAAACCTGGAGAAAGACGGTAGAAAGGGAAATGAATGCATGCAAATTGACTTGAGATACCAAGGACAGAAATGCAAAAGACTGGCAGCAATGGAGATTATTTGTGAATGCCTTGTGTCTCAACATTTATGTCTATAAACTATCCTAGGAAGTTACTGCTTTACTTAATAACTGTTTGGGTGTGGGCAGTAGTAGCAGCAGCAGCAGCACCAGGTGGTAGTCATTTTCACAAATATATCATGTTCAATCCACAGGGTTGTAAATTTCAGCTATTTTATATATCATGTACTTGTTTAGTTAAGATAGCTATGTCATTTGTATTATTGTTTCAGATATTATCTTGTTCACCCCTTTATGGGTTGTGAATAAGATATAAATTAAACTGTATATATTAACATAATTTTACTAGCATTGTGTCATTAAAATAGTGGATTTATTATGCTCTTGATACAATGTTGATTTTAACTTTAGAATAATTATCTTCAAAGATGACATGAGCATTAATTACCTCTCTTTGGAATTGTGGAGTTTTATGTGTGTGTCTGTGTCAACATTTTTTTTAACAAATGATCTTAAATAAATTTCCTGTTATTTCCGCAAATGTTCAGCGGCACTGAGAGAGATCTTGGATACATATAACCTGCCAGAAAATGCAGCTAGACTGGAGGATGCACGTATATCCGCTGGCAACGATATGTTGAAGAGCATGCAGCATGTGTTTCCTACGGCCACGCAGATGCAAGTCCAAGTTATACAGAGATATGGCTTTTTGCCTGATGGAGAAGGTAGGCACAGATAGGGTTACTCTATGGATCATCATCATAATCATCATGTCGTAAAACAGAAAGCCAGCAACATAAATTACCACATAATGCCACTTTTGAGACATACAAATATCGACATGCACATGAAACAGTAGCTGATAAATTTGCTGTTCATACCAACTTTGTGCTATCAGTGCCAGACATGGACAGTGCTAGAAAAATATAAGCACAAAATTACAGAATGTGAGATGAGATGTATAAGAAATGCAGTAGGAAAAACAAGAAGAGATCCAGTCACCAGTGAAGAACTAAGAAGAATAAGCACAGTATCAGTGAATGATTTCATAGAACTCAAAGAATCAAGTGGTTTTTTGGAATAGCAGTCAACTATGTCATGGGCAAATGCACAAACACAAATATGGGTATCAAATGGGTTAACAAAATTCTAGAAGACAAAGTGCTTTTGAATTCAACGTACCCAGATATCCGAGAGATAACAAAACATCTCCAAAATGTTTCAGGACAAATTGGTCTCTAAATTAAACCTACAGAAACAACAATTATTGATCTTATCAATAGTTCAGGCAACATCAAACTAAACAATCACATTCTTGAAAAAAGTAAACAGCTTTACATACCTAGGAAGGAAGATGATATCTGTAGGGGACTCAGTGCCAGAAATGTCATCTAGAATCGCACAGGCATCACCTTTAAGAAACTGTCAAACATCTGGTAGTCAAAGACATTCAGCAAGCACACAAAACCTAAAATGTTCCACTCTTGTTTGATTCCAGTGCTAACTTATGGATGTCAGAGTTGGAAAGCAATGGTAGCTCTAGATTTAAAACAAAAATTAGACAGTTTTGAGAGCAAACGTTTTAGAAGAGTACTAAATCTCCATTGGACAGATTTAAGATCCAATATGCAAAAAAGACCAATCAAGAAAATGTATCCAGTTTTATAAGAAAAGCACCGGAGGAATTACTTTGGCCATGCACTCAGAATGGACAAGACAAGACTCCCTCATCAAGCCCTCATATGGACACCGGAAGGGAGAAGAAAACGGGCAAGACCAAGAGAGCCTGTGTAGAACCATCATCAGTTAAGGCTCAACCATGGGCCTAACAAACATCCCAGACCTAAAGCAGGTGGCAACGAACCAACAGACTCGGAGAGCTATGACCTCTGCCCTATGCACCGCCCTAGCCCCAAGAGGGAAGACAAAGACACTGCACTCAAATTCATTTTTTCATTCCTCCACAGGTCTGGTGCAGTTCACAAAAGCTGTGAGAGTGTATGAGGAGCATGACCAAGAAGTGAGGCAGCTCAACGAACAGTTACGCTCAGTCCTGATACCTCCCGTCAACGTTCCCTACCCAGTCTCTCCGGTGGTCAGTCAGAATGGGGTCAGCTAAGTGAGAGGAGACAGACTTGTATTATTGCAGCTGACTCTAGCAGACTTGTTTGAACTGTTGTAGTCTTCTTAACCTTTTTGCCCCAGTGACCTAGGTTAATAAAAATCATTGCCCAAAAAAAATGCATTTTTAATTTTGAGTTTTTGAAAAACAAATATCTCCAACAACATAAAAAAAGTTACAATGGTCACACCCCCCCCCCCCCCCCCCACCCAACCCCCAAAAAAATCATAGTTCCATTTATGGATCAAACACGTATTTAATTGCCTCAGAATAAGGGGAGTAATCAGTTAAACACTGTGTGTCAAGAATGTGTTTACTGAGTTACATCTGTCTGAGCTTTTAGAATCATGTTTAGTGTGACCCTTTGTTGATCCCTTAACTTGACTCCCAGTTACCACTGATTTATAACGAGAAATTCTCATGTTGTAATTCTATAAATAAAGCAATTTCCACAAATGAAACTTCTCACATAAATACTATTTTTAGCAACTATGCTCATTGCCGGTCATTCCAACAAGTTGCCCAGAACAAAATCGAAGCAAAAAAACACTCCTCCTAAACAAATCACTATTTTATTGGCACCTATCCGCCCTTCCAGACAATAGTGTTATTTTGCGCTTTAAGGAGGCATGGGACTCACAGCCCGTGGCGATGGTGTGTGTGACTAGCAAGACTGGGTTGCGTTAAGAAAAGTCTTCCACAATGATAGCATGGGATTTCAGGACCATTGTTGTCAACATTTGTGTTTAGTCTGTTTCTACTCAGACACTCAAATCTCATCCTTTCTGCAATTATTTCTTCCTTCATTCTCATTCCCTTCCTGACGTGCTCCCTCCACCCAACATGGTCCATGACATTTTGTTCCCATGAGTCTACCTAAATACCTGTATCATTCTTGTCCCACTTGCACAAATCCTTATGTTGTAGTAGAGGTAAACCTTCTTTAATTCACCATAGAGGATGTCCTTAGGGACTCTGCCATCCTCCATTCTCCAGGTGAATAGCAGCAGATGTAATACACCGTAACAGTGTGGAAACATCCATTGTTACCTAGCTGGTCTTAAACTCTTGGCCACATTTGTGTTCGCTATATGGTGCTAGTTAGCATCCGCATGCCATAAATATTGTAGATAGGTTCCGTAATTTTTTTATTTTTTGCCATATTATTGGATATGGATAATGTCAGCAGAAAATGATGCTACTTTGATAGTTTTCAACTGTTCAGGAGAGTGGCAGCATCCACACTTGATGGGTTTAAAAAAAATATATTTATGTGGATCATTGGTGATTTCATGATCCCAATTTTTTTTTTCTTATTTTTAATCTGGGATTTTGAATTTAATGTTAGAAGAAAATCTCTGACATAGCCATGAATCAAGAAGAAGCAGATTGTGAGCTGGACAATTAGACTCTAAAGCCAGATATACAAGAAAGTTCAGATGAGAACACATAACTGTGCCCATGTGGGAAAGTAACGCAGAAAAATCAGCAAGTGCTGCAGACATGCCGTCTACATGCTGTAGAGAGAACCCAGTTCTGACCAGTTGACATTCTGGTGGAAATTAGACTGTGTGGATCAGTGGAGAACTTGTGTCACACCACAGTTGTCCCATCTGGAAACGACTGTGTGGATCAGTGAAGAACTTGTGTCACACCACAGTTGTCTCATCTGGAAACTAGACTGTGTGGATCAGTGGAGAACTTGTGTCACACCACAGTCATCTCATCTGGAAACTAGACTGTATGGATCAGTGGAGAACTTGTGTCACACCACAGTTGTCTCATCTGGAAACTAGACTGTGTGGATCAGTGGAGAACTTGTGTCTCACCACAGTCGTCCCATCTGGAAACTAGACTGTATGGATCAGTGGAGAACTTGTGTCACACCACAGTTGTCTCATCTGGAAACTAGACTGTGTGTATCAGTGGAGAACTTGTGTCACACCACAGTCATCTCATCTGGAAACTAGACTGTGTGGATCAGTGGAGAACTTGTGTCTCACCACAGTCGTCCCATCTGGAAACTAGACTGTGGATCAGTGGAGAACTTTTGTCACATCTCAGTCGTCTCATCTGGAAACTAGACTGTGTGGATCAGTGGAGAACTTGTGTCACATCTCAGTCGTCTCATCTGGAAACTATAGACTATGGATCAGTGGAGAACATGTGACACACCACAGTTGTCTAATCTGGAAACTAGACTGTGTGGATCAGTAGAGAACTTGTGTCACACCACAGTTGTCTCATCTGGAAACTAGACTGTGTGGATCAGTAGAGAACTTGTGTCACACCACAGTTGTCTCATCTGGAAACTAGACTGTGTGGATCAGTAGAGAACTTGTGTCACACCACAGTTGTCTCATCTGGAAACTAGACTGTATGGATCAGAGGAGAACTTGTGTAACACCACAGTTGTCTCATCTGGAAACTAGACTGTATGGATCAATAGAGAACTTGTGTCACACCACAGTTGTCTCATCTGGAAACTAGACTGTATGGATTAGTAGAGAACTTGTGTCACACCACAGTCGTCTCATCTGGTAACCACTGGCAAAGAAACTGGAAGAAAGAGATGAAGAAACAACATGCTGATTTTCAGTCTTCTTCTTCATGTTCACAGTCTGTATACTCCGACGGGAAGTTTTGTGTGTTTGTCCACCTCTGGACTTTGGTCTTGTTCCAGAACCTGTTTGTTGGCGTCAACTTCTGTTTCACAGTTCTGGCTTATTTATATACAGGCTGTTAGTTCCGGGCTTCTTAGGCAGATATGCTCTGACTGTTGGTTCCGTGCTTCTTAGGCACATATGCTCTGACTTCAGAAGGTGCAACTAATTAGTTAACTCCTAGGACATGTTAACTGGACAGACAGTGGGTAGGTAGGAAGTTTACCCTACCAAGACATCACAAAAGCGATAAACACCTAGTGACACAAAGTGCTACGCTGCGGATGAGGATCACCTGTGGAGAGGTCCAAGAAACCCCATATCTATGGCTAGGCTATATCTATGCCCCGGCTGTATTCAGGGCCCCCGGCAGAAGCCGGGGTGGGACTTTAAACAACAAATTGCATCTCACAGGGGAACGACTTTTAGCTTCAAACAGTGGGTGTCTTCTTGTTTTCCCCACAATGGGGCTCAGGAATTAACATGGGGATTACAATATCTGAATATCGAGGAACAGTTAGTTCTAAATCTTTTGTATGACCCTGCAGGACCAAGCCCAGCATACTCTTTTTTTTTTTGGGGGGGGGGGGGGGGGGGGGGGGGGGGGGGGGGGGGGGGGGGGGGGGGGGGGGGGGGGGGGGGGGGGTGGGGGGGGGGGAGGGGGGGGGGGGGGGGGGGGGGGGGGGGTGGGCTGGGGGCTATTCATGGTTTCAGCAGACAATTTTACGTTGAGTATTTTGCCACAGAAACCAATTCTGGATTATATACAAAGACAGCAAGTGAAATCGTTTGCCCACTTAGAGAGAATGCCTTGTGACACCATACCATACAAAGCATACATGGAAAGAGAAGAAGGACGTAGAGCACGGGGTAGACCAAGAATAAGATGGAAGGATAACATCAGAGAAACTCTACAACAGCACGATGTGCCTATGGTCGAGGCAGCCAGAAGAGCTAGAAACAGAACCTTATATCTCCCTCGACACCCACAGCGGTAAAAGAGGAAGTGAAGAAGAAGAAGATTTTGCAACTGCTGCTGAAGGGTGAGCTTCTGATTCAAGGTTGAAACCAACACTCAGTGGTCTGCTGCCAGATCGTCAGCAGCTGATATCGAACCTGGCCCTGGCAGCATGGAATTATAAAGTGCAGAAGAAAACTGGCTCATAGACAGCACATTGTCAGCAAGTGAACAATTTCATACGTATTTAGTGCTGCAGTAGTTTTAATTTAATATTACTGGAATACCCAGTAGGAGATCTGGAAGTTATATGATTGTTTTTCGTATTCTCTGTACTGCTTCAGGGAACACATTTATGGGGGGGGGGGGGGGGGGGGGGTGGTGGCGGACTAGCTATAATATGAATGTCCTACAAGGTCAGCTAATTAGGAATGTGCTGAAATCAGATGTGGTCGGTCGAAAGGTTTTATCACAGCCTAGCTGCAAACAACAACATGTACCAACCACCCTTTTAAGGGCAAATGCACAAGAAGAAGAAGAATGTATGGTTGTTTTGAAGAAGAGGCAGGTGCTGACCAGCACTAAACACTGTGTATTGGAGGTACTTTGAGCTGAAAACCACATGGGATGTGGCAAGAAAATAAGAGTCTCTCTGACGATATAGTGGGAGTGGCTTTCTACAAAGAGCCTCTTACATGACTCTGATGACGATTAGTCTGTCCAAACCATACCCTAGAGTGGGGCTATTGAACTTGTTTCCCGTGGGTCAAATCTTACCCGCCGAGACATAGCAGGTGGATCAGTGCCAGTTGTACTGTATTAAAAATCTTTCTACGCTGGTGCTTGAACTTCTGGCCTGTGACAACTCCCATTTTGAACATGTTGGTCCATGAGGAAACTTGAGTTAAATAGCCCTGCCGTATGGAGTAGTTTAAATGATCATCCTCAAGCTGATTTTTTTAAATAGTCCATCATTTGTAAGAGTGTGACATTTATAACACCTTCATATTTCTTTGTCGTCTGTTTTTAAAACTGTTGGCGTTTGAATATGTCTTCATTCAGTATTGAGAAATAAATGTTAATAAAAACAAAGCTATCTTCAGAATGTTATTGTCAATTTGTTATGTTTTTCTAATGTTTAGGGTGGCATGGATGTGACAACATGACTAGTAACTGGAGAACACAACTTTTTCCTCAAGTTTTTGTTATATATTTTAGGTTGTAGAGGAAAATATGCTCTTGGATATAACCTAAATTTAGGCCCACGAGAATAGAGCCATTTAATTTTAATTTCCCTTTTACTACAACTAAAGTCAAACATCCAGACTCTGGCACAGTGTGTGAGTGTCAATAAACCAGGTAAACTTGGTGGCACT